ACCTCAGCACTGAGTGAGTGGCCTCAATGTAAAGGCTATGATAGGCAAACAACGATTTCACTCCTTTCTTTATCTGTGATCGATGCTCGCGGAAAGGCCATCAAGCCTATGCTGCTTTGTAATGTCGATTTAAAGATAAACTCTCTCTAATTTTTGTCTCTACACATCGACTGCTTCCATTTCATGCCTTCCGCACTTCTTGCCCTCTTGAAACGATTGCCACACTTCTTGGTAGGGCTTCCTTTGCTTCCTTTTATGTACAGGGTGAGCACAAGTTGCGGAAACCGTGCGGAACCGTGGAAACCTCTCTGATTCTCCTCTTCTCAAACGATTTTGTTGCTTTTTTGTACTGTTGCATTTTTTGCTTCTATGCTACCGTGGGAAGGGCGGCCGGCGTATTCAGCAGTGGGGGGGGGGGAGTATCGTCATTCGGGAAATCCAACACACTCGGCATTCCTCCTCCTGGTACCGCTCCCCCTAGAATTAAGCCTTAGCGGGAGTAAAGAAACGATTTTGTAAACAATTTCCTTTTCCCCGAAGTGGACCACTGGAAAATTATAAAAAGCTATTGGTTGAGAATATACCCTCAGAAAGCTTAACTACTTATTCTCATGGAAATTAACGGCAAGTACTAATGGAAAGAAGAGGAAGAGAAATATGGGCAAAACTTTTTTGTGTGGACTTTCCTCGAAGTGATCCATGTGCGTTTTTGCTGCGCGCAAGCTGCGTCTGCGCCCTCTTGCCGAAATAGCGTGCTGGGCTTACATCTGTCTCGTAGATTACAATTTTTCGGTCTGTTGAGAGGCTTATGGTTAGTCCCGTGTTCCTCCGTCCTTCCACCTCTTCTTTGGAGCTCCTGGTGGTTGCTTACCCTGATTCTTGAAGTTTAGAGCCTTCTTTATTGGGTGATCCTGTTGCGTCTTACCACATGTCCCAGTGTCCTCTTCATGGCTCAGAAATTTACTCTTTTGCACGTTTAGCCGGAGGTCACCTCTGCCAGGCACTCCCTGCCACTTCTGCACTTTTGAAGACATCCACTACTAGGAGCCATCAGATATTCCATAACCGCTAACGTCCTCTACAGCGGCCTTTCGGCGGTCACTGCCGAGGTAGAAAGTCCAAACCCTTCTCAATGTCAATGAAGACCTAAATGGAATATTCATTCATCCATTCATGACGTCACATAAGGCAGACGTAAGGAAGCAAAATGACAGCGCAGTGTGGCAATTCAACTACAACTATGAGTAACTTAACACAAGACCTCCTTCCTTAGCAATGCGTTCGTAGCACTGCATCAAGACCCGAAGAGAGATGCTACTTTTGTCTATAAATAGATGAAAATGAAAAAAATACCCTGAGTTCCTACTAGAAGTTGTTCCCGTTCGCTGTTTCTGTTCTCACATCGGAGTTTTTCTCCCATTTCTTTCCCCACGTATTCCCCAAAACGTCACATTTCTTGAGATATTCGGTTAATCATTCGAGCTCCGCCGTGGAACCAATATTGCTCTAAAGTCGCACGGATAAGGGCGCCTGATGGGGAAAAGCGGTCTGTACTGCAGCTTACTGCCACAATTCGCATTCCGAGATTAAAAAGTTAGGTAGTTTTTTCATTTTTGTGCTGAAGCTCATTTGAAAAAAAAAGTAAAAAAAAACTGGAAAATATTCCATTATCGAGGAACGCGGGCGTTTGTTTGCCTTTCAAGAGGAAAAAATACCGCTCTTATTTGTATGACTATAGGGTAATCACTGTAGACAGGACTGAAGTGAAAGCGTTGAACTCGGCACCCAGAAAAAATGTCGCAGTAGAGATAATGCTCGTATTTTCAGATAGTTTCGTCCGTCGAATGCTCTGGTGCCTTATCAATTTGATATTGCTGACACTTCTGGTGAGCTCCTGAAAATTATATAAAGATTCTATAAGCTATTCACCCACTAATCGCAAAAACTAAGCGATTTCGGATGAAGTCTCCATATAAATATTACGACCCTCGGGAGGAGGAGCGAAGAGGATTTGTGCGCTATTAGAGGATCGATCGACCCTGACAGTTACTGGTGTACTCATCCCATGCGCCCCGTATTCCTGTTGGGTTGCCTCCTTCTTGAGATTCTGGCCACTGAACTGGACGAGTCGAAAGAATTCGACGAATATGACCAACTTTCGGTACAGGCTCTGCATCTGTTATAACTTTTGTTTTGAATGCCAGGGTATTTGAACCGCTTTCAGGCTGCACCGAGCTCAACGCTATCTCCCGAAGAGACATGTGGGTTGTGTCAGACAGCGCTTCGCACCGTATTTGGACACTTTGGAGCCAGTGTACCCAGTCGGAGAAAACTCGTCCATCAACTTAAACACGAGTGCAAACGACACTTCAATGTACGTCACCTATTATTCTACATCGCATACTCCTTTCTTTGGGTCAGCTCGGTGATATGACCATTGAATTATTCTTTATCTTTTCATTCAAGGGTTACCGATGAATAACTAGATGAAATAATCCTTATGAGTCAAGCCCTTCTACCGTTACTATTAACGGAAAACGTTCCATTTATAACGAAATGCTACTGCCAATTTCATCGCTTGAAAATACGTGGAGAGGGCACTAATGGCCAGGACCAACCGTGGCGCATGGCACGTAGTGTGTGGAATCACATAGCCCAACCTCTGACGGTCGTTGGTGTCGGCTCGATAGCGCCTTTGAACCCGGAAGTAATGATGAATCACCCCAATTACAGTGGCTGTTGAGCGGGGTGAGGATGGGGCGGAGTTGGCAGGTGTGAGTAGAGAGGAAGAGGTGGAGCGCAATATGCTGCTGAAGGAACCTCAAAAAATTCTGACTTTTGTCCGAGTTCGCCAGGCAAATCTGAAGAAACATCCCCAGTTCCAAAATTATCAAGAAACCCACACCAGAGGACCTACATTTGCATGGTCGTCGAGCTAAATTACTCTTGCCCTACAATATCCGTTTCAGTATCGCAGACGATGCCTTTTGCTGATGAAGCAGCACTACAGCATGATCTACTTGGAGATGACAGATGGTTCATTCAGCCCAATGCAAGCATGCTTAATTATGAAAGTGAGTTCGCAACAATAATTCACCCTATCTTACAAAGTATTGGGTTGGAACATAATATCGTAGCGCTTGCATTTTTCATTTCTTCACACAAACATTTGAAGCAAAAAATAAAAACATAAAACTAATCAGTGATGTTCACTTCGTCATTATTTACAACTTTGATTGCATTTCGCAGAAGATCACCGGATATAGAATTTAAAAAATATTGAGCTCGTTTGGAGAACTCATTGTTATCAATTTGTACGACCTAAATGTGATTTTAAAGGCAGCGATTACGATAAATTCAAGAAGGGTTTATTGTGACGTGGTGGTGCTCAATGGTACGCCAGTGGCGAAAAAAGCAGAGAAAATCCGTCAAGAAAACAAAACGCAAAACGGGACCCCCTTTTCGTTGGTTTTCACTCATGAACAGGTAACAGCTCAGAAAGGGAAGTATGAGCGAGTTTACCGCAAACTCGTGATCCACCTGATGCCTAACCATGCCCAACTCGGGGCGAGTTGCCCTGTTGCTCCCGCGCCGCTAAGCAACACACGCTTCGTCCGTAATCGGCAAGTGCGACTCCGACTTCTGTTTTGTGAGGGGGTGGAGTGCTTCTCGAAGTCCACAACAAGCAGCAGTGCCTCTTCGTAGTCCGCCACACTCCGCTCCCTGGCAGCCACAGTAACTGACTTCGTGTGTGCAGTGTGCTTCTCCGGTTGTGCTCCCTCTCTAAATTATTGATTTATTTATTTATCATGCAGTGCAGCGTCGCGCCTAGAAAGCAAGGTAATCACTTCGTACAAAATTCGTCAGTTCCGCTACAATTCGCCTACAGAGCAGGATGAATATCGTCGAGGAAATGGCCTCGACCACGCGGGGTCCGTCTTTCGGCGTGGGTCATGGGGGTCGAACTCGTTTGTTCAGTAAGCATCATGAGGGTGAAACTCCAGTTCGGGGGGGCCACTCCATTGCTATCTTATCCGTAGTACTAGAGAGCAGTTCTTTGGGCTATCGAACACTACGGATAAGATAATAAGTGAACGACTCATTTCGAGCGTACTTTTGATAAGGACCGGTGGATGTCCTACATTCCACACTACCTGCCCACATCCCATCCACTTTTCTGCACAGGTGATCCACCCTGGAGCTCCTGCACCCTTAGCCCTTTGCGGAGGTGTCCTTTCTCCTGGTCCAGGACCGTTCCCTTGGGTCATGGCAGGCGGAAATGTGAAAACGTTTCAGGGTTTCTCACCCATTACACCAATATTTATCAGAAGTCTACTTTAAATGAGTCGATTACGTGTCGTGAGCCCTCTAATCCTTATCTTGAGTATTGGAGAAAAAATGGAGTGGCCCCCCCGAACTGGAGTTTCACCCATGCAAGCTACATGTGTGCAGATAGGAAGTAAAGAAGGGGCAGAGCGATGATATGTGAAAAAAAACAGGATATGAAATATTCTTGGCAGTTTCAGCCGCTCCAATCTTTTACCTTTATGAGTGGGACGCAGCTGAAAGCAGTACAAAGAATGAAAGCGCATCTCCGCAAACGAGGCCACATGTGCACACGCGCTGCAAGGGCACCTCCTCTATCTACCGCCTGCTTCTCCCTTAATACCTCGCTCGAGAATGACACTGTTGTTAGGGCCCTATCGCAAAAAGGACAACCATGAAGGAAAGGCCCGACGGTGCAAATGAAGCTGCTTCCTTAGTTTGGAGAGTTTACGAAATATGTCTTACTACATATGCAGCTCTTGCAAACTGTCATTGATCATATAACACCTTTCAATCGATTCTGCAACTTCGAATCGTGGTCGGATGCATGGCCTATACTGAGACGGAATAGGATGATGACGATTGCCACTTTATTGGTTGCTTACGTAAGAAGAATCTACTCTAGACACGTTTCGAGCGTTGCCAACGAGTTACACATACAATGCTGGAGAAGGGAGCAGCTTTATTGAGCGGCCGAGAAGCATCCTTGATAGATCCTCAACGCAAGTATCTCCTCAACTAAGAAACGTGAGAAGAAAACTAAACAGATCATCGGGAAGCGCAAACCTTCCGCTTTTTCCAATAACTATCTGTCTTTTCCGAGTTCTTGCGAATTTAGAGAGATATGGCCTTTTAAGTGGCAAAAACTCGCATGAAAGTTTCGGCATCCTCGAAGCAAACTCGACATGTGTTGAGAGACTCGTATCTCTCCGAATGAAAGGCTATCATGCCAATTCCAATGCTGTCTGATGAGTAAATCTACTCTATCTACACCCGACCGCCATTGCTGTTCAAAAAGTTTGGGCCCCCAGTGGAGGAAATGGAAATTCATCGAGGGTGTAGATTTCGACGGTTTTTTTTTCGGGATTTCAGCAAATCTGACCCAGTGACAATCCGCGCCGCAGCTGCCGTTGAATCGGCCGTTGACTGATACACTCGGCTGTTTCGATTACTCAAGCAGGAATTAGGATTTTAATCGCAGCTCGTGCTTAGAGGATTTCTGTGCATTTCTAAAGGAACCTGCTTTTGAAATCACACAAAGTTGATGCCTCTTTCCTCGAGCCTCTATTTCAGCAAATACACAAAAGTTCAGCGATGAACGAAAGTGCATAAATAACAAGAGAAGGTGTTTACAGTGTTATTTTGCAAGGTTTTTTTTTTGGACTAATTAATTGAAATAATTGCGTAAGCTCTGTTTTTGAGGGGGTCCATCGCCAAGACCGACGACTTCCCAGGGGGTCGTACTTCCGCCGACACATCCTTGCCCACGATTTCACTCCCGAGGACGGTTTACGGACGTACTTGAACTATCCATTCTGCCGCACACGGCCTGCTACCAAGAGTACCACCATCCACGGAATAGGGACATGTACACGTCACCTTTTGAACAGTCACCGTGGTCTCAGTGGTCGTCGAGTCATCGTGGTCTAGCGATGACGTCGTTTTTGGTTTATCCGTGTTTTTTACTGAACTCGTCGTCATCTGTGCTGCTCATCCGCGTGTAATTCGGAATTACGACCTTTGTTCGCTGCGGATCCCATATGATGACGTCCGTCACAGATTAACTGAGCTCACTGTGAATGGATGCAAAGGATTCCAAAATAATCTCTGGATTTGACGTCATGCTGATAACCCGCATGTCGACTACGCTTCCTTGCGTTGGGGTGCAAACGTTCAGTGTGACGGTTGTTGCAGCAGCAGCCGTGCCGTCGAGTTGTGGTATGGCTGAAGCCCTTTCTGAAGAAACATGCCGTGTTCGTTACTAGCTCGTATATAGAAAAATTCTACTTGCAACTTCCTGAATCCTAAAAGGTCGGGTACCCCCCAGGAGGCCCATCGCGCGGCAAGAAGGCCGAGTCGGCGGACGAGTCGCGGCGCGTGATGTGCGATGAAGGACGTGCAATGGGACATTCTATTTAACTTGACGCGATTTCCCTAATACGCGCGCAACTCGTCCGCTGACTCGGCATTTCTTGCCGCGCGACGGGCCTCCTGCGGTACGGACAATAAGGAGAAGGGCGAGTCCGTGGCTCGCGCTCCGCGATCCCCAAAACAGGAAGGTTGGCGGCCCTTATGATGCCTTGAACGAGAAGGGAGACGCGCCCGTCGCGGTAGGGTGAGTGACACCCCAAACGCAGTGCTTGAATCGAAAATTGCGCCGTCATCTGCGGTCTCGTTGCAGGACGTGGACTGCATTTCAAGAACAGACGATTTCGAAGCTCAAGATACGATTTTGGGCTTTCAGAAAGGGTACCTTCGAAAAGTGGGCAAAAGGAAACCGCTTCGCGTTCACACAACTCCAAGCCGCTGTGAAACGACTGTCTGTTGTGGGACGGAGCGACAGCATCTAAAGGTCTAATTTTAGCGCCACCACAGTCAGGGAAGACGATCAGAAGAACTGCGACGGAAGGAACTCAGGCGAGAAATTTGCAAAACCGCACTTTATGTATATAAGTGCCGACGCAGGAGGTCACCGAGGTCGGCAAGGTCATTTGCAATGAGCTGCACACCGTTGTACTCGCCTCGAGACGATGAAGGCAAAGCTGCCTTCCACATCTGCTAAGCGATCCTTTGGTCATGTGATCACAGTCTCGCCGCAAAGTCCTACTTAATCGTGACAGTGACTTAGATAAGAGAAGCTTACCATAGAGTGTAGAGTTGAAGAGGGCACAGCGATGAGAGTCGCATCAATGCTCAAATCAACGGGCAAGGAAGGGTCCCATTTCTCGGGTTCTGGGCCGTTTCTCATGGTTCTTCCCTTCTTTTACCCCACTCACCATCGCTACATTTACTTTGAAATGGGTTGCCCTCCCAAAGCCAGACGTGAATTCGTACCCTTAAGGAGATAAGGTACTTAACGAGTGTCTCTGATTCATGCCTTTTGAGCTGGAAGCTGGCTACTGTGTGACTGAGCTCTCCTTCTCGAACATTAGGTCACAATCTCAAATGGAATGGAAGCGCACGTGGCGCCTTCTTCGAACTGTGAAAAAGTTAGCCAAGTCTCCCTCACGTAAGTTCCCATGGGTGGCGTTAAAGCCTTCTCCTGCCAAGTATGTTAAAATGTATTAAAGCACAACCCCAACAGACAGTTGTGTAAGGAGAATCTATTTAGTGTATGGAACTGCAGCCCACAGTATCATAGATCCGCCGCTTCGAAGATCGCGCTAACCAAGAGGCTCTGTCAATGAGCTTACGACTATCTTAACCTTTTCACGATACGTCAGCGTCCCCCATGATACCAGCGTGATATACCGCGTAGCAGGCTAATCTCAGATTAATCGTGCAGGGTGAGATGGCAGTCGTCACAGAGCCAAGGGAATCCGAAAACTCGTCGGCCTTACAAATTCCTGAGGAGAGAGAGGAATGTACTTGAACAGCCATACAATCGGGGCTTCTTCATTTCACACAACTTGGATAATCTACAACTCCATCGAATCGAAACCACTTGTGGCTCCAACAAATGATTAGAGGTTTGCTTCAAGTGACCACCGTCGGCAAACATCGCGCAAAAAGTGCTGACCAGTAGCTAGAGCTCTCTGCCATTGTATTCACAAGCCTATAAATATGTCTACTCTTCGCCGTTCATTCGATTTCAACCCATTTACGGTGCAGGACAAGAAGCAGGGTCTCAGGACATCTGTCAACCGTGAGCCTTGGCGGTTCAGCGTTTTGTAGTGATGTCTGGGAGCTCTCACAAGTGCACACTATCACAGCATCTCCTCTTTCTTTATCTTCTTCAAAAGGCTTAGTCCCAATAAGACACAAAGTGTGTGCTTTTCCAGCTACCCTCTCACCCTTTGGTTGACAGAAGCCGTTGTAACCAAGAAGCAGCCCATTTTTATGATGATGGTAGAAAATAAATTAAACCTTTCAGGAATGCAACCCCATGGACACGCCCATCACCGCTAACTACGTCGATCTCCCGGGACAACCTGAAGCATTCGCATTGGTCGCATCAGCGGAAGACATCTCAGACACTTCTGATTAAAGATTTCTCACTGACCGTAATCACTCTATACTCTGCTTGACTCGCCTGTGAGTGACAATAACTTTGGTGTCCTTACCAAAAGCAATGCCGTTTGAAGTGAAGGGAAGGAAATATGTTGTTCCTTAAGAGTCGATCGCACTGATTACATGTTCGGAGCTTCCTAATTTCAAAAATTTTCCCAAATGCACCCTTGACAACTTCTGAGCCTTTTACACTATGCACGGGTTTCTTAGAATAAATTTTGAATGCATGCAAAAATAAAGGTGTATAAGACAATGAGATTTAATAAATAGCTTTATCGTTGTAAATTCGAACATCTCATAATTAAAGAGCTAGATTTTTGATTTTGGAGATTCACCATGCTTTTTGTCGATCGTCTTTCCATCCGATGAGCACTGTTCTATCATACGCGGAAGATTGCCTCTCAAGGTATGCAATTCATTGTACCCACCGATAAACCTAAATCACACACTTTTATAAGGCCAGAAAATGAACCCTGCCTCAAAGTTTACCCTGAATCGCTCTCACTATGCTTTGTCCACGGACGTGGAACAGATCCAGATAGTCAAATAATCCATCTCCACAGGCTCGATCAGGGGTTCAAAAGCTACTGGTGAGCGCTTCAAGGAACCCTCAGCTGAAGTCGTGTCAAAGAATTCGTTCTGTGGGTGGGATATAGTAGCTCACAAAATCACAGATGTGCCGTTTTCGCATCTCGAAAGTGCTCGGCAATGTCGCTAGAATCTTACAAAGCCAGCATTTGGACGAGTTACATCGCGTCAGCATCACCCATGAACGGATTGAGGTTGTGAGATCATTCCGGCGGACCTACATTCAGGCCGGAAGGCTTTTATGGGTCAAAACACAATAAGACGAAAAGCTGAGAGGTGGTGCTTCCCATATGTATAAGTATGACGTGGAGAGCACTTCGAACAAGATCGGGAACGTGTGGGACCCGGTGCCCTTTCCTATTTCACTGCTTCTCGAGATGGGAGCGACTTTGTTAAGGGCTGCATCGCGACGGTTTTCTGGCTTCTTACTTTTAATTTTTTGTCAACCGCCATCCACAACGATTCGCATGGACCCGCTGTACCACAAAATTCGATCCGGTGTGTTGCTTCAAAGGCTCACAAGATGGGAAGCCCTTTGCGTGGTGACGCTGGAAGCGTTTACCAATAGTTAGAGAATTATTCTTTATTATTTTACCATAACCTTCGACTCATGTAACCCGAATCCTAAGAAAACGACCTTATTTCGTCTGCAATCTAACGCACTTCAAGAGTTCTAAATAAATATGCAGAGGCGCAGCCCGTTCGACGGTTGCTGTTCATGGAACAAGATACAACCAGTTCTTCCCCGACATCCGTCGGGTTTCGCTTTTCCTGGATATATGACGTGTCTTCTGGGTTTGTGCCGACCATTAGGCGAGACACTACACATTATGGAGCGAATATGTTATGAGTGCTTTGTATGGTAGAAGAGGGCACTATCACAACCACGACATCACAAAATACTAATCCCTTAGCACTGGTTTGGTTCCTTGTCTTAGCGGGCCACTTATTCTATGAGTCTCACCTCCATCAGGCTCTGCACCAACACATACCAGATTTTTGTTATTGTTTCTCTCGACTAGATTCCACGGACAGGATTTCGAAGAGGGCTCAGTACGGCGGACCATATTCACACGGCTACAAAACTCATTGAAGCGTTGCGAAAATTCGATTGCTAGGAACTGATGGTAAGTACGGGATACCGTAGGATGCCACTGTCGAAAGGTCATCGACATGAGAAGGCCTCCGGCTCTGTGGAGTCAGAAGTGGTTATTGACGCCATAGGCAACCAGAGGATTCTTCGCGAGCTCTACAGCAACTTTACGACCAGATCTCACCATTCTACAAGGAGGTCATCATCGACGTCAAGAGAGGGGTTCGACAGGGCGACACCATCTCGCCCAAACTCTTCAGCGCCGCTCTCGAGAACGTCATGCGTCAACTGGAATGGGAAGACATGGGAGTGAAGGTCGACGGCCGGCAACTACACCACCTTCGTTTTGCTGACGACATCGTTCTTATAACGCCGAACATCGAGCAAGCGGGCGACTGCTGACTGATTTTACAGGCATGCGCGCGATAAGATCGGTTTTCAGCTGAATCCAACAAAGACGATCTTTGTGCGAAATGGAATGATTTCTGATATCTCATTCACTTGGAACGGAACAAACATCTGTGGATGTTCAAGCTCTTCCAGCCACATGTATACAGGTAAGGAAGTTATCATGAGAATAGCTAAAGCTGAGCACGAGGGAGAGAGTGGCACGGTAGCGCACAGGAACATCAGTGGAGTAGTGCAGAAAACGAAAGCCATCCGGCTGCGGTTCCATCCCTTCAGTTCTCAATCCTAGCAATAGTTCCTCGTCCGTACGCTTCAGAGACTTAGGCCTCCCAGAAAGTAAGACTCCGTTCTTCTATGTTTACCTTTGCCGACAAAATAGATGAAATGCTCGCATACTGATCATCCCTTCTACTTAGGCATTCGCACCATTTTCAGCTTCCATTCAAGACCACAATGGTATTTCTGAGCAGCTGTTTCTCGATCTCTGAGAAAGAACAAGATTTTTGGTTGACCCTCGTGTGATTCAAAATTGGAGTTGATCCCTCAATCATGCCCTTAGTGACCGTTATTCCATGGCTGGGCCACTGAACAGTAATATATCCATACCACCCCTTCATCAAAAACTACTACATAGCTGGACGCTATCGCAATATACGGGGGCACCCTCGAGGACAAGCCCACTAGGGTGCAAAAGCTCCGGGGAGAATGGGAATGACTCACGCACCTTGGAAGTCTCCTCCCTGCCTAAGGCTTGATCCCATTTTTGCGCTTATGTCATTGGGGGGGGGGGTGGGGACATTCAAAACAGGGCCGATGGTAGGTGAGACTAGGACTAAGCCCAGCAAGGGGAGAAACGCCAGGGAGAATGCAAATTGCTTACATGCTCCCACAGGATCCCTCCCCTCTCTATGGCTTACATTAGTCCCAAGCAGGGTGAATATTGCTTGAGGATTCCTCAACGGCACGTCGAGGATTTTCGCCTGATCCTTTACGTTCTCGCGCGCGGATATTCACTCTCGCCACCCGCGAGCCGTCTGTGCTCTCCGCGCGTACATTCACTATCGGCTCTACTCTCGCACAGCAGAGAGCGATGGTCGAGGAATTCCTCGACCGTTATTCACCCTGCTGTCCCAAGCACAGTAATTGGCTCACTCACTTGGATGTCCCCCCCCGGGTGCGGGACTTTTGGCTCGTCCGGACTGGTACGCGGCAAGTTGCGCGGCGGCACGCGCGGCGATTGGACGAGACAAGGCTCCATGGGTGCTTCGACTACAATTCAACACGTCAAACCGTGTGCAGATTGAAACTACGCATGATTCTGCTGTTTGAAAATGTTTCCGCTCGCGGAGATTTGAAGCAGCAGTATCAGGTGAGGTTTCAGCGCAAGGATATGAGTGAGGACCTTCATGGAAATGTCACTACTACCATCAAAGCAAACAAGAGTCAATAAATTTGGGTGTTTTTGTTGAGGTATTTAATGTCAACTATATATGTTCTGCTGATCGAGGCGTTCATGTCCCAAGGAGAAACATTCGAAACGAACTCCCAGCAGAGGGGAGGAACGCCAGAGAGAACACAAATTACCCCAGAATCCCTTCTCCTCCCTAAGGCTCGGTTCCAAACACAGTAATTGGCTCACTCCCCTCCCCCCAATCACATGCCCCCTGAACAACATGAGAAAAGCCCTGAATTGCCAGAACAGCACTATTGCTCAGTTCTTCTCATCTTTTCCCTATCTGTTACACCACCACCTCAAACTTCCAGGCGTTCAGACGTACTTCAAACTGCAGAACCTTGCAGATTTTATCCGCCACGCTTTGACGTGTTGAGTTCCTGCGAAGCGTCCGGATCGCCGCGCAATTTGCCGCGTGCCAGACCGGACGAGCCAAAAGTCCGTCGCCCCACTCCCCCCCCGCCAAGGGAATGAGCCGCTTCTCTTTTGAAACAGCAAATTCCAAAATGTGTTTTTTCGCCGTTCCAAGCATTGTCATCTACAGAAGCCCCGCGTCAATTGCTCGATAGCGCCAATGGCTGTTCATAAATACCTTCCACAGACGAAAATCTGCGGCACTGCGTTGCAATGTGCTAGATCCGCCAATCCTTGCTTGGTAGCTTTGACCGACGCTTCATCGCTAAAATTCTGCAAACAACTTTCTAAGCTAATTTTCTTCGAACCCTCAGAGATCACTGATTCCCAATACTGACTTTCAACAGTGATATATACGAGTACTCGTTCAACAAAAAATATTCCATCATCGTTCAGTTCCTTCTTCGCCCATACGCAGTACGGGCAACGTTCCTTCGTGTACATTATCACTGGATACTTATTAACCTGCAACAGATAAACGATGAAACATTCTACGTCGAATAATCCATGCGCCATGCATTTCACATCCATTTACGACTTATTTATTTATTTATTTATTTCATTACACTCAAAGGTGTGCACAATCACAGGAAATCTATCACGTAGCAAAAGCACTTGAACGTTAAGAGGGCTACAGTTAAGGCAAGAATTGCCTATTAACTAATAGAAACTTAAATAAAAAAACACCAAAAAACGGCTTCGAATTGAGAACGAATTTACTCGGAACAAGATGGATTCTGGGCGCTCATGTCCGTTAGGGGGGACACCAACCAGAATAGGGTATTCAAAAACCGCTGGCAAATGATGCTAGGACTAACCCGAGATTGGAAACAAACACCAGGTAAGACAATGAATGCTCACAACCTCCCAGAGATCTTTCCCCTCCCTATGGCTTGTTCGCGAGTTCTATGAGTGACCCAATCATTTCAATGTCCCCCCTAAGGACATGAGCGCCGGATTCTGTTTTATCATTTGAGTAGAGAAAAAAACCGCAAAAAGACTTTCCAAACGATTGTGGCATTCTGATTCTACACACGGCCCAAGCGATCTTTCACAACATCACTTAAAATGTTGAAAATAAAGCCCTCTCAATCTGTATGGCTTCGAGATCCTTGATAGAACTGGATGGAAGAACTGCACCCCATGCGCCTATACTGAACAGATTGATTGCACTGACACCGTTCCTCATAATGTATATAAGCCCTTTGATAAGCATGCCATGGAAAAACAACAAGTTCTTGATAATAATTTATTTTCTTTCATTGTAATTCATATACAGTAGAATAAATTCCAAGCGATCACTTGTTGAAACACATTTTTTGCATCTACACGAGTATGACTTGAATGGGCTGAAACTAGTCAAAGGATGGAATTTCATGAAGAATACTACCGCCACCGGCAAAGAAAAAATGTAATTAATGACATGTTAAGTAACAATTTTGCATCGAGCCGCATTCAATATATCACAAAACATATCTCAGCATTCTGTTTGCAATGATCAATCAAAGGAGATGAGAGGCTGCTCTGCAATCTCCTGTTGAGCAGGAGCTGTTGTTTCAGTACCTGAAAACCACTCAGAATTCATTGCACACCACATTGACGACGACAATGTCTGCCACTAAACTAGCCACCGTTCACAGGATGTTGCAGTTGGTATCCGCCTTGATGAGTCATTGGATACTGTTGCATATGTAGTTGTTGTTGTTGTTGTTGTTGCTGGGGTGCGGAATTCACATATGGCACAGGAGCAGTATTTTGAGGAGGTGGTTGTTGCTGTTGTGCTGCATCTAGCGCTGCGAAAGCAAGAAATCATAAATAATTCGAAATTTAATAAACATAGTAATTTCAGGAAATAAAATGCACATGTTCCTGCTGTACAAAAACAGTAATTCGTAATATCGTTTGGCTTCATGTAACGCAGGCCTTGAAAATGATACATTTGAGAGGAGCTGCGCTCACCATGAGGAGCGATTAAAAACATAAGAAAAATTGGCGTGATCAGTGGCTAAATATGTAGCCAAACCGAGAACCTCGAGATAAAAGAAATCTGCCTATTCACAACACCGGTCGCTATTACCTGTTGATATGATGGCGGAGCAGCTGCTGGAACGGGTGCGTAATAAGGCTTGTTGAGGGTGAGTTTGTGCCTGTTGAGGTACTTGCACGGATCCATTCGTGAGAGGATGGTTGTTGTTGTGCATGAGCAACAGTAGGTGAGTAAGATGCTGAAACTTCAATATTGGGTCAGATAAGATAAAAAATAAAGAGAAAAGAAAGAATGGAAATAAGATTATAAGTCGCCCACTTTGTTGAGCTTGCATCGTCGGATCGGCCCTTTTGCAGTTCCGGATCGCAGCGTTAGGATACATGCTGATACCCTGCGTGAGACTGAGGGAACTGCTGTTGAGCATAACCCGGGTACCCAGGCATTCCATAGGAAGCTGGAACGAGAATATTGCATGGTCATTCTGAACAGTGACTCAAAAACATGGTTTCACCTGGATATTCCACTCTGAGGTGGTGCAGGTTGTTGTGGTCCGTAGTTAGGGTAATACGCTCCTGAGTCATCTTAACGACAGGATATGAACAAAAAGTGTAGAGTAAAAAAGCAGCTCTAGTCATACCTGCCCCCGTCTCGCTTGCATTTCTTGATGCTGGAATCGTTGCAAAGCAACATTGCGCTGCTCCATTAGCATTACCTTGACGGTAAAGCGTAAATTACTTTCTGCTGAAAAAGTGATCACTTCATGGAACTTACGTGCTTCTTCATACCATCCCTTCTTGCGTTTTGCTTCAATCTGCGCCCTTTAGCCTGCTGTCTCTTGCTCTTCCGCCTAGCCTTTCCGTTGTCTACGACATTTTCCGCTGCGTCAACTCATTTTCTATCGCCAAAACCATAGCTTCACTTATGTGACCGCAGCTGGTCTTGCCCAGGCCTCGTAGTAGAGCTTAAAACTTAGCTCTTAAAAAAAGTATCACAAATTGTAGGGACAACGTACTACTTCTCCTCATCCAGCTTGGTTAAGGCACCCAAAACTTGCGAATGGAACTCGGTCAACGTTGAGAACCAACCCTTGTATAGCTGTATCATTCAGAACAGATCGCCCTCTCGCATTATTCGAGCGGATTCGGTTTTCCATAACGGTTACCGTTGCAAAAGCCCTCACATCAAAATAATCAATTGAACACACCAGCCACTCAAAGTCTCAGCGAATAGAAGAACCGTACTATTATAAAACACCACGAAAGGGAGATATACCATATTTCCAATACGAGAGAAAATGTCACTTCATCTGTCAGTACCTGTTCCTTCAGTTGCTGACACCACTTCAGTGTTCCTTCAGTCTGGGATTTCATGTCGTCGTTGACAGCTAACGTCTTTTCCCAATGACAACTGGCCATCTCAGTTTGAACGGGAGCAACAATAGTATTCGTTGGTGTTATAGACGTCTCACTTGGTAGTGGAGCAGAAGCCCGATTGCCCTGCATTCCCTCAACCTATAAATGAACCATAATCTCGGCTCTCGAACTTTATTCTTGTTGTTGTAGATAAATCAAAAACGTTTCCGAAAATGTGGTTTTCATGAAAACTAAAATTCTTTCGTTCCATAACAAAGAGAAAAACAACAAAAAGAGACCTTCGCAGAAGCTCCCCGCCTTTCGTTGTTGCCAGTAGTCCCTATTGAGATATCTAAACACGCAGTGATTAGATCATGAACAGCAATTTACACTATAAGTAATGGTCATTCTGTACTCTCGTGTTCAATGGCAAGATCCACGGAACATGCTTGAAACGAAAAAAAAATATTAACAGCTATCCCTTGCCACATCGCTTAAGCCAGAAGGTCCTCCCACACAACGATTATCGAATGGCGATTCCGCGAACTGACTGGCGCAGCCTCCTTTATAGCCCCATTTTCGGATGGGTTCGTATGACGATAATCGAGGCCTGCATCCTAACTACGCTGCAAGAAGTGTGTGAAATCAGCTTTAGCAGAAAAGGATTACCCAACACATTTAGTGAGAAACCATGGCTCTTTGCCCCATATAATTAATTCGCACAGAAAAGGATGTACTAACAGCATTGAAAGAAACCATGGCTTTGCCATATAATAGTGCCACTTTCATTATCCTTAGTTGATTACCAAGACTTCAAGAAATCAGTACTTGATGTAGTGAAATCAACTTATATTCAACCATACAAAACGAAGACAAAAGACACGCAAAAAGGCAATCACAAGAAAATTCGAACGAGTCGTGAAATATTCGTGTGTGCATTCACGGAAGTGGGTTCTACTACCACGGAAAATTTTTGTTTATTGTTTAAGAGCCCGTACGAGATACTATTTTTTAACAAAAAACTTAGTGAGATTGAATCCAAGACAGCCTCAGCCGTTGGCATGAGCTGCACACAAAAAAGTTGTGCACCAGTTAACTTCGAAGTATTGTCTTAATTTGTGCAAAGTAATGACGTCGTCCTTCCAAACAATTTAATGTGCACATGTGCTTAAGCATTTTCGAATTTCAGTGTAATTTTTAATTACTGCCGCTTTGTACGTCCGTTTGGGCCTCACTGGACACAGAAAAGAGTATCTTTTTAACAAAAGCAAAAGCCTGAATGACTGTACGCTTTGAGACTCTGAAACATTCAGATCGACATGAGGCTCCGTGACAGCACAATATTACACAAGCTTGACAAAAGCAGAAGTGTTTATAGCGCATGGAGCAGCACAGCACCTCAAAGTGTGCTGTGCCATAAATGAAATTTTCGAATCATGCAATGCTCCCTTCCTAAACCATCCTACAGCCAGAGCCAATCTAAACAGTTGAAAGCTCCCTACACAGTCGTTCTACCTCCAACTACTCAACCGCCTTCCTTTTTCACAAAATTCACAGAAAAGCCATACAGGAGGAGAAGATACATAAAACAACTGCAACGGTCAAAATCGTTTCGGAACCTCATAGATAAAGGTAAGAGACCTATGCGCACCCTTCCCGAGCACATTGCCAATCTCACGTAGAAAACAATAAAGGTGCTACTCTCCGAATTGACAATCTCTGAACGCAGACAGTGATTTCCCTGTCTTTTCCGATTCCTGATTCTGGCTTGATTCATGAGTAATCTTGTTGGTAGCAAAATTCCCACTGTTAAGCGAGTTTCACCAAGAATGATGAGCTTGTAATGCCTGACCACTAGTAGGAAGCGTAGTTCGGTGAGTACAGTTCACCAACCACTCCGGCCTTGCTCAACTTTGGACAGCCCGCAAACACAGCCCTTGCTTAGTCAGCGAGTTTCCAGTCCAC